CTTCCTTGTATCTGAGTGTGGAGGCAGCCTTATATGGTGTTTTTGGGGTGGTAATTATGCTAATCTCCTCTCGCGTGCACGAGCAGCTGGATAGAACAGGTGTAATTTACGCAGCTCATTTACGCACTTTTCCTGAAGATAGAAGAGTTTGTTGAATCTGACGTGACGTTCGTACGAACCCTTTGTATGAACAAAAGTAAGAGAAATTTAGGATAAGAATACGAACATGTTCTTGCATGAGGCCCAATGTTTTGTAGAGGTTGAAGATATCTCAAAGCTTAATCCAGGAGTGTGCAACTCGTCCTTGAGGTCTACAATTCTGCACGTTTTAGATGTTGCTCTGCTCCAATGCACRGCTCTGTCACTGAATCTGTTGTGTTGAAGCAGGGAAACATGTAAAACGTGCAGGAAAGCAGCCCTCGAGGACCAGGATTGGACAACTCTAGACCAAAAAGATAAAACTTCAATCATAATGTCACATGGAAGAATAAATGTTCACATTGATGGTGCTTGAGAAAACTGCTTCCAGCCCTTGTGCTGACTGGGAAGCATGTGGACAACAGATGGTATCAGGAAGCAGCAAAGAGCCAAAACTATCTTGCCAAACAGTTATGTAACTAAACAAAACTGACTGCGTGCATGCCACCAAACCCTCTGCATTACAAACCAGTTATTAATTTAAACTGTTTGTTTTCTCCACACAGGAGGCAAAGAAGAAAGATGAGATGCTGCTGAAGTTTCCAGACAAACTGCAGCACGTGCAGAGAGCAGCCAGGTAAACTGGGAGAAATCTCTGTTTCCTTGTTTAGATATAATACAAAAAAAACTTGAGGTACGCCATTATAGAAAGATGGTGAGGGAACTGTTGCCTCTGCAACTCAACCACAAATAAGTTGTTGAAGATGGAAACAGAAATAAAATAAATGTGCTGRGTTAGTCAAAATTACATAAATAGAAAAGATAAACAGCAGTAGGCCTTGCATTGATCCTTGGGGTATGCTGTTGTTAAAAGCTGGAGAGGGAACTGTTGCCTCTGAAACCTGACCACAAATAAGTTGTTGAAGATGGAAACAGAGACAAAAATATATGTGCTCTGTTATACTGGAAATTACCTCAATAACAAATGTAAAAAAGCAGTGGGCCTTGTGTCGAACCTTGAGGTATGCCGTTATTTAAAGATGGAGAGGGAACTGTTGCCTCTGAAACCCGACCACAAATAAGACGTTGAAGATGGAAACAGAGACAAAAATATGTGCTGAGTTAGTTGAAATTTCCTCAATAAAAAAATAAAAAACTAAAAAGCAGTGGGCCTTGTGTGACTCCTGGAGTGACGTCATTAATAATAGGAGAGTGAGGTCTGGGTTTCTTTCCTGGACCAATAAATACATAAATAAATAAAAATAAAAAAAGATTTAATACAAAGGTTTGTCATCCTCAATCTGCTGGTACTTTCAAATCATACTCAGGTACAAGTCTGCTGGGAGAATGCATCAAACTTTTTCCTGTTAATGTAATAAACATCACAAATCAACTGTTTCATGTTTTTTGAGGTCATACTAGCTGGTATCTAGGGATGAATTTATTAGTGCATCTTCAAGAAAATCAATGTTGATTCTTCAACGTAAACTCTTAAATAGCTGAGTTTATGAGGAGTAGGAAGAGAATGAAGTGAATAGTCTATCAGAGATGGCTAAAGCTGGTACATTCTGCTGCAACTGGTGAGCTTCGAGGTACCCTAACCCTCCTTTATTTCATTTTATTCTCTATCAGAACAAGGTTTTACAAAATATATCTGTATAAAAAAGATAAACTGTGCAAAAAGTCACAAAAAAGTTTTTTTTTATATCTGAAATGGCATTTCCTGTTATCCATTGTTTGTGCACTGTCTGTCAAAAATATCYGACACAAACTTTTTGTCAAGAAAAGACAAATTTTAAACAAGAAATGTGAAAACTGTTAAAATGACTTCTGGTTCCAAACTATAAGACAGCAGCTGAGACCAAAATGACTTTGTTAAAACATTGACAGCAGTGTGTGAAAATACCTCCACCATCATCCACCCACACAGTCAAAGACACTGAGTCTTTGACTGTGTGGGTTATTGCCGGTTTAAATAAATGTGTTTAAATGCGACTGTGTGACGTCTTCATCGTACAGCAGCGTYGAGCATCATTACCTAAGCTGACGTCTGATTTAAGTGCAGCGATGTGTGTGTAGCGTGCATGCGGCACAGTGTAACTATTGTGCTCGATGAGCTTCACAAGGTCAAACCTGTGCAATGACGGTGCAGCTTCTGCACCACGGAGCCGAGACGACTCCTCCCTCCTTCCTCACAGACTCAAAAGCAGTCCTGGGTCTGAGTGAACTCAGCATAAAAAAGCTTATGATTTGCTGTTACTGTTGTCTATTTGCACAAATTAATCATTTCTATCCTCATCTGTTTTCATGTAGAGTTTCAGTGGAAAACATCGAGCTAGAGTTTTCCTCCTTATACGTTCGGATCAGATCTCTGGAGGAGAAAGTTCAAGGAGACAAGGAGTTAGTGCTGCAGCTGGAGCCCTTTCTGCAGGTGAAGAGGCAGCACTTATGTAACGCACTGTAAACACAGACACACAAACAGACAGCTGGATGAAGGACAATACATCTCTGAGAGGCTACTAACTCAGCAGCTACAGATAATGACATCTATAAAACAATGATTACATTTTTTAAAAAGATCGCCCTTTTGTGTTTCTCAGACTGCAGCACAGACACTTCAGGACCTAAAGCGACGCAGGCTGGACCTGCGTAAAGAGGGGAACGCTCTCATAGATTTCTTTTGTGAGGACAAGGATACCTTCAAGTTGGACGAGGGTTTCCGCATTTTTCAAGATTTCTGCATTAAATTCAACAAAGCTGTTAAAGTAGGTTTGAATATAAAAACTCTTGTGTTTCACCTGATTTTATCTTTAAACACCTTACAGATGTTTTAACTGCTTAGCAATGATGCATTTGCTGACAGGCAAGATAAATCAGATTTTTGATTGCCACTTGTRATTACTGGCGACTAGTTTTAGAAACGTATTTGCAAAGATTTTGCCAGAATGTCTCAAGGTTCTCAGTTTCCTGGCTTGACTGAAAGAGGCTCAGTCTTGTCCCTTGGAATTTGTTCAAAATAGTCACAGAGTCATCTCAGTCATCTTAGACCTGTCTCAGTTTTGATGTAGGTGGAGGTGGGCAATGAAATAATGTGTATTAATTGTCTAGAATACAATTTTGCATTCATAAATAAGCTGTGCTTTTCAAGAACTAACTTGCTGGTCACTTGGTTGCAAACATTCACCATTCATTGAGAGCGCAACTGAAAATTTGTTTTTTCCTCTTTATTTTGAGTCTCCAATAGTCACAGCCCAGTGAGCTACTGCTTTTAGCTAAAGTGCAATCTCCAATCACTAACCAGAAAACTAGATTTTGTCTGATTGTTTTGTTGGACTGGCCAAGCTTATAATCAGGCAGTTTTAGTCATTAGCCCATAAATGGAAGAATCTTTAACAAGTCATATTTGGTGTATTTGCTGAAATGAGGTTTCATATAAAAAACAATTTGGGGATTTATGTATTTGGATTTGATTGAAAACTTTTTTATTTTTAGGGTAGGGTTAAAGTAACAGATCTGAAACTACAGTATATTACTTGAAATAGTTACTTTTAGTTTGATGGTGGGAAGCTGAGGGGATGTCTTTGTGACCTGATGCATCCTCTGAAACGTCCCCACCTCTCTTCTCTCAGGACAACACGGACCGGGAGCTGAAGGAGGCAGCCAGACAGCGCCGGCTAAGAGAACTGGAGGAGAAGCGTTTTGCGTGGTCGGGCGAGGACCAGAGCAGCATCTTTGGTCGCAGCAGCAGCGAGAACGACGTGCAGATGCTCACCAAGGAGGGACTCCTGGACTTCTTCCAGAGGAGGTCTCAGAGTCCAAACAGCCCACTTGGGCGTTCGGCCAGCGCTCGCCGCCACCGTCACACTGTGACCTCCGTGGCGGACCGTGAGCTCCAGGGATACCTCGAGCTGTTCGGGAGCACAGATAACCCCACTGATTATTCTAAGTTTTACAGCCTGCCTCGATCGGGTCGCCTTTACCAGCGGAGGACAACCCCGTGGATTTTAGGCCAGGAGGACAGCCGTGAGCTCGGCTGCGACAGACAAGTGACTTCTCCGCATGCAGAAACTGAACCCATCAGCCCACTGGCCAGGTTCTCCTCATCTGGGCCGAACRATAACGTGGATCCATTTGACAACAATAATTACTCTACCGTCTCTGAGGGCAGCGCACTGCCTCGTTCCTTTTGTATGTTTCAGAAGCCCTATCTTCCAAACCCAACAATTCCCGGCCATATGAATATTAGTGTGGAGAAGCGCACTTTAGTCCAAGCTCCTCAAGCTTTTAACCTTCCTAGTCCAAACAACAACAGCAATCACATGCACTTTGTTAACCGTCCTGATGTTGTTGTGGCGGAACTGSTTAATGAGATCCAGTCGCCTCAAAAGAATCAGGAACATCTTGGGCACGAGAAAGTTTTAGAGAAACGTGCAGATCTGAAAGCAGTACAGGAAGATAAAATCGATTTTCCCACACAGACTAGAATCTCTGCCGAGAAGGAAGAAGACTACAGCACAGTTTCATCAACTACCTGCGATACTCCCCTCCCACTGGATACCTCTGTATCCAATAAGAAGCCAGTGTTTTACATCCCAGACTGCACAGAAACAGACTGCTCTGTTGCCTTGGATTACTCCGAGGCTGAAAGCTCACCTCATCCAAAAGAAGGACTTCATTTAAGAACTGACTACAGTAAAGACCAGCAAAGCCAGCAGGATTCCAACTCTTTGTYCTCCAACTTGGAGTCGGCTTCACCCAACAACCTCTCTGTCTCAACCAACGAGCTCCCGGCGCCCGAATGTGTGGACGCAGCGTCCATGACTCCATCTCTGAACACGGAGGAATGGGACACAGAGAGCTGCGACACGGCCGAAGGAAAACAGGGCGAAGACGCTCAGAGAACTGGCAGAAAAGCAGCGCACTCCAGGAGCAACAAAGTGACAAAGAGCAGCGGAGGCCGAGGAGTGCGAACGCTGACCAGCAGCGAGAGCCAGGGCATGAGGAAAGTCGTGCCCATGTACAAGCTCACCAGGACGGGCAGCAGCAAACGAGCAGAGAGAGCTGCGGGGCAAGACGGTGGAGAAACACGCCGGCATCTCCGTGACCAGAGCACGCCAGCCAGAGGAAGGGCCGAGAAGACAACAAGACCTCCTCGGCACTCGAGCGTCCCTCCTGATGAGTCCAAAGTTCAGCGAGGCGGTGGCCTCTCGGGCAGTATTTCCAGATGGGCACGTGATTCAATGCCCAGGAAAGCGTCCCTCCACAAACCGAGCGCCAAACCTGTGAGGAACATCCCAAAGCCGCCAGCCGAGGAGAAAATGTGCCGTTCCACCATGAGAGCTCTCGCTCAGGCTCAGGCCCAGGCCCAGGGCGGTGCTTCTTCTGAAAACAGCAGCTCTCTTGCAAACATTTCAAAAAACTCCTCGGATGTTCCCAGCTTTGCCAGGAACACAGTAGCTTCGTCTTCCAGGAGCAAAAAGGAGCTAGGACCTACCTCTGCCCCCTCCACTCCATCCCATAGCCCCTCAGTCCGTGGCAGAAAATCATCAATAAAGCAGAGTCGGGCGTCGCCGGCTGTTCACACCAGCGAGGAGAAGCCGCAGGCGACAAACCTGAGGCGGGTCCAAAGCGTGAAGGCGACCAGCCGCGGCGTGTATCGTAGCGAGACTCCACCTCCAGCACGGGAGAATGTTCGTAAGACCAGCAGCTTTTCTGAAAAGTCTGTGCAGAGCAGAGACTTGTTGGCATCCAGCCGAGCCTCGAAGCCGAGCTGGAAGTAAAACCAGACGTGTTGGAAACTGACTGCAAAACAGCAAGAAGACAGAGAAAATGCTTTCATTTAGAGTAAAATGACATTTGCTGTTATCCTCTCATACCACAATTTAAATTACACAATAAAATGAGTAATCGGTTTGAAGTGGGGTTCTGTGAAAAGATTAAATTAGATAGTTAAATGAATCATTAACTGGCTCTGAATGAAACTATTTCTTCAAGCTAAGTTTTCTCAAAGAGCTGTCTACAACAGGTAAGATATTAAATGTTCATAATCTCTACTGAACCCCACTCCAAATGGTCTGAACCTTGTATCATTCAAAGAGTAGTTATCTTTTAGGTTCACAAAGAGCAAGATGCAATAAACCTCCAAATTTTAGTTTCATCCATTAAAAAGGTTCCGTCTTTGTTTTATTTTTTGAACAAAACCGACAAAAGGCAAATTCTGTGTTTTTCACACTGAGGTTTTTATTGCCTGCTTAGCTGTTATGTACACTGCAATATACATGATGTTGCTGAAATACTACAGACTCACTCCATAATGCTGCTAATTATCTCTGACAAATTGAGACTGATAGAGTTTCAGCGTCTTTTTTTATTCAGGGTTTCAGAATCTGTTGAATCTCGCTGTACCTTGCTGCTGGTATGTTTTTTTTTTTAGTTTTGCTGCGTTTTCCTGTAGATTAACACTAATCTGTTTGCCTTGATACCTCAGAAACATTGCAGTGGCCTTGGACCAGCAGAACGGCTCGTGTAGTTCTGCTCAATGGTAGCGTGGACAAATCGGATCAGTTTTGATGAAGCTGTAATGTCACGTATTTTAATGTCGCGATCATATGTTAAGTCACAAATATTCTAAACCGGCTATGGTAATACCTGTACCGTTTTTATTTAAGTGTCAGTAGTTTGTAAACAAAAATGTGTTAGAACTCCTCCATAATGTCATGGAGTCGATGTGCACGTAAGAAATGTTTCCTGTTAAAGCTGTCAAAGAAAAGCTCTTAAACACAACTGAAAGCGTAAATCATGTGATTGTTTTGACAGTCTGATCAGATTTTCTATTGGTTAGATGTTGACTCCTGTTTATTCCAGGGATTCATGATTTAGTTGCAACATTAGTTATAAATGGGCATTTTTTTTCACTGAACTTCAGCTTCTTATTCTAATTTTTTGAGAGTATTCACAAGAGCACAGAGCTAATCATATAATGTTCTGGGGGAAAAATAAGAACAGAGAGTCATTCTGTGATGTTTCTGGAGTTTTTAATTAAAAGCAAAGCTAGTAGGGCATCTTCTCAGGTTGGGGCAATATTTTGTGTTGAGTCTGAAATTTGTTAGTTTTTGCTTAGTTTGATTGGCAAAAAATACAATCATAAAAAAACATCAGTTTGAATGGTACGATTAAATAATTAAAAAGACTATTTAATCCAGATAAAACAACTGTGGTTCTAAGTTTTATTTCATGTTGTACAAACTTAGTGCTTGTACGCAGATGGAAGAATTTAAAATCTTTTAAATTAACAGGATTTCTGGACCTGGATGAGTGGCAACTCCGCTTTAAAAAAATACCACCTTAAAAAAATAATCATGCTCAAGTAGTATTATATTTTTTGTGTTTTTAGGTCAATATAACAGTTTTTTTATCATAAATAGTTTTAAGAAAAGCATCTGTGGCCTACATTTAATAGTATTTGACGCCGCCTGCCTGTTTTTCACTGTATGTTGTTGTGATGGCAGCAACTCTCACCATAACGCTTCATGTCACAGATCAAAATGAAACTTTTCCCAAATTCAGTCCCACTAAACTGAAATAGTAACTGCTAGTTCACACTGTACGTATGTTGATATAATTATATTTCATAAAAATGAATGATAAGCTCTGAGCTGCCGGCTGTTCCCTGTGATGCAAATGAACCTAACTGCATAAAGGAGCAGCTGTTTTGTGACTCAACTTTTAATTAAATGATAAAATTAAAAATTAAGAAAAAAGTTCTTTTCTCTGAGCTTTAAAGAAGCTTTTATTTGAACACTGGACAGTTTTTGTGCACTCTGTGTGTGTGTCACAATGCCCCCTGCTGCCGTCCCTTTTTACAGCCCTGAACATCAACAATGCATGCCCTTTGCATCCCAACCCACCAGCCTGCAGCAAAGGAGCTGCTAGTGAATTTGCATACTTACTCGCCCTTTTCACCTCTACTTCCTTCTCAGCAAGTGGTTGCCTTAGAAACAGTCCAAACCTCTTTTAACATTATGAGGTAAAAGCCTCACAAACCTGAGCGGTTAACGGCCTCCATAAGTTTTTCTTACATTAAAATGCATTGTTTTATGTTGCGTTTTAAAACATTTCTTCTTTAGATGCATTTTTATCAAGGATAATTACACATTTAGATCCTGTTTAGGGTGCTGTGAAATACATATTTTTCACTGAGAGAACAATCCAGTTCAATCATTGGAGCACATGGCTGCAAATTGCATCATTTCTATCACTGTTAACACAGAGGAAAATATTAAATCACGTGGTGCTGTGGACTGATAACTTGGAGTTTATTAGATGTTGAAAGACATAACGTTTAAGACATATATTCCCAGTCTGACTCTTGAGTAACTTCAGGTTGTTGTCATTCTGTAAACATGGCACTATTTCTGCGCTTCAGTATTTCAAAGCTCCAGGATAGACAGACTGGTTTTGAGAAATGATCATCATCAAATAAAGCGCTTTAACACCAGCCGTAGCTGAAACAAAGTGCTGAACATCAGTTAAAAACAAGAAAACAGATAAGATCACCAAAAAAAGTAAAATCAAGTCTCATTTGGGTTACAGGCCAATGAGTAAAAGTACGTTTTCAGATGGGTCTTAAAAATGGACAGTGAGGGGGTCTGTCGGATGTGCAATGGTAAGGCATTCCAGAGCTTATAGGGCCACAAATTAAAAAAGCCCTTTCTCCTCTTCTGCGTGGGAATGACCAGGAGCAAGTGGTCAGCAGACCTGAGGGACCGAGAGGGAGTGTAACAGTGGAGAAGCTCTGTTAAATAAGGTGGAGCAAGGCTGTTTAAAACTGATCACATCAAAAAATGATCACATCTGGCTCCTTTGGCAATGCATACAGTATGGTTCATTTAAATTTTGATAAACATTTTGTTAATTATTAAAATATTAGTAAACTTACTAACTTTTGACTCTCCACCTCACTGTGTACAAGGACTTCTTGACGTCAGAAAGTCAGGATAGGAAACTTGACATCTTGTACCATAATCATGAATGCAGGCGTACCACAGGGCTGTGTTCTCAGTCCAGATATTTTTTTTTACCATTTTCAACTAAGACGTTAAATACCTCCAATCTGATTAAAAGGGTTCATAGAGAAAGTTTTCCTGAGAAATGTGAATCACACTGTTCTGGCTCTACAGCTGTTYAAAAACTAAATAATAGAGAGTAAATGAAAAACAGAGTGCTGTCTGTGCATTCACCCGAGGAAGCCAGGAAACTCTGCTGCCCAGGATTCAGCTGACAGGTTTGGGTCAGCCTCATCATCAAAGTCCTAGAAAAAAGCATAAATATCAACAATTCAATCATCACCTGTCTTCAGCAGCTGTCATCCAGTCCCTCGATCCATGCCACTTTCTGCAGCAGTTTTGTCTGACAGCACTGGCCCAAGGGTATGACCTCGTTGGACCAATCATCATGAGTTGTTTACACCGAAGGTTCTAGTTCAGCTGAGCCTTCTTATCGACCTCATGTGAACCTGCTGTTGAACCATATTTTCATTCTGATTAAGACACCTTCCTAAGTGAAGCACTTCTATTTACCAGCAGGGGGCAGCAGAGAACTTTGTGTTTGAACTGCTCCACCTTTCACTCATCCACTTTTTATAGCAGAGGTTGGTAAAATAATTTTTGTCCTGTAAGTGGAGAGTTGCCGGTTCAATCTCCGGTTCCAGCTGTCTTGGTCGTTGTGTCCTTGGGCAAAACACTTCACCCGCCCTGCCTACTGATGGTGGTCAGAGGGGCCTCTGTCAATCTGCCCCAGGGCAGTTTTGGCTACATTGTAGTTTATCATCAGTGTGTGAATGAATGATGCATGAAATTGTAAAGCAGCTTTCAGGCTCTCGAAAAGCTCTATTAATACTACTAATCTACTAATGCATTATTATTTTATTTTAATCATCATGCAAATGTTAGAATAGAATCTCTGTGCACTTATGTAAGTGTTTTAGAGGTTTTGGGGTTTTTTATGTTTGTTTGACGTTTCATTYCTGGTTCTAGTCTGGGTTTGCATTTCATTTTGTTGTTATTGCCCATAGATTTCCTTATTCCTCGTTTTTCTTACCGCCTGCTTTTCATTTCCCCATTTGTTGCTCTTTGCTCATCTGAATCCTTTTCCATCCACTGATCATTCCTCTCAGAATGCTTCAGGGTTTCAGATTAAAATCATTTTATGCTAAGATGCGAGAAAACCATAGTGAAAACTTTTTAAATGATATTGTGCATGATCTTTGTCAGTATTGTCAGTTTTTGCATGATGTGATGATAGTTTTGAGATATGTTAGGGATCACTCTCAACTACAACCACATCCAATTTTAACTCAGCATCTGTAAAACTGACTCAGTTACAGTTAGTGTTGTTTGGCTAAAACTGATAAGCTGTGCTGGTCATCTTTAATTCGAATGATTCCAGATGTTAAATGATTTTTAGACATACCCAGTGATTAGTTTCTGAGCTTGACTAAAATCCATCCACTGGTTGATGAAATAGATAGCTAAAATTCAAACATGGACAAAATCCTTAAGTAGAAATTCTAACCCTTCTAACATGGCAACAACACATATTCAACAAACACCAGCAGTCACAAGCTCAGTGAAAGTCCCTCCAGTTCCAGGGGTCAAGCAGCTTGTGACTCGACACGTTTACCTCAGAGTAACGTGCAGCAGATAAAGCTTCTCTCAATCCCTCAACCTTTCACCCAGAGATCCTTACTCTCACCCTGCTGCAGAACAAACACTCCTTCCTTTGGCTACATGAAGTCTGCAGCTACTGACGAGACACCTAATAACTGCTGTACAGGGTTTTCTTTTGATTATCGTGGACCTGATGAAGCCGAATACCAGGAGTCAGAGACCGCAGCAGTGTTCCTGCGGAGGTCAGAGCGACTCCACGACTAAATCAGGTGAGTGAAACCAACTTTCTTTAGAAAATCCTGCTGCTGCTTCTGGAACTGATRCACAGCATGATAAAGTTGAATGTTTGCAGATTTGTGAATTGTCTCTGACGTTAAGTATCTGCATGGGCATAATTTGTGTTGGGGTTGGGGGGGTTAWRRCCCCCACAATATTTTTCTCCTGTCAATATTTGCTCTAACACAAATTAAACGGTTAAGCACACCGCTTTCTTGTTGTCTTTAGGTAACTTTGACCTGATTTAAAAGTTACGTTTAAGCAAAATTGCTGAAATTGACATGCAGGATTTTAGAGCATAAGCCTCCCAATGGTAGACCTTGAGTTTGCAGTGAGTAAATGTAACTATAAAAGGAGAATATGATACTTTTCAGGCATTCATTACTGAATCACTCAGATTCATTCTTCAAATAGCTTGTGTTTTTAATGCACCGTGACAATCTGTGCACATAATGTCACATTCTATCATTCTGTCTGCACCACTCTGAGCACRTTAAACAAACCAAAGGTGTTTCTGTCGCTGCAGCTTTTTATCAGCAGGTCAGGGCTTCCAACTCCCATTCTGCTCCAGTCTCAAGGATTAGCAGCAAGAGCTTAGCACTGTTTACATTCTGCAGGTGTGTGTATGTTTGTGTGTGTGCATGTGTGTGYTGGAAATTAGCTGCTTTAAGCTGTTGTGTGTGTCTTGGCTGAGCGACACATATAAGAGGTGTTTTAAATCTCAGGRTGTTTTAAACATGTTCAACGACTAYTTTCTTTGGAAATAAACTGAACCTGTTTATGTATGTGTGTTGTTTACACGTTTACACGTTTTGCTGCACTACAATGTTGTCTGTTCATTCTACACAGTTTCACTGACCAGGTTTTCAGAAAATTTGTCACAAAACAACTTCTTTTTGTTTTCAAGCACATTTTTTAGCAGCAAAGTAAACTCAAGAAACATGAGAAGTGATATCGTGACACGTTTTTAACTTTCCATAGGAAATCAATAAAATTCAAAAACCATAAATATATTATACCTTTTAACTTAAACGTTTTAGTTTATCTGTTGAATATTGAACAAATATGGTTACTAAATATTTAAAGTGCTAAAAAAATGATTACTTCAGTTTTCTTTACTCAATTTTTCCTCTTTTTAT